ACTTACCGTTTCGTTTCTGTTTGCCTCGTTTTGTGTGAACCGTAATAGAAGTAGTACGTATATGATGTGTCGCTTGTACTGCAAAACAAAAATGAAAAAGTGTCAGCTTATCAGCGATCTATGGCTCGGACCCGAGTCGAACGTGCAGTCTCTGCTGAGATCCTTTCTCCCTGTATTGAACAGGTGGATCTCGCGCTACCCAGCCTCTTGCACGTATTTTCAACCCTTGCAATCTGTGATTAAATTCGCACCTTGCACTCACTCAAGCGTAACCTCGGTCGGCCTGCTTTGTCAACACGGCACGGAAGATCACCGGACGTTGGGGCTACGTTTTGAGATCCACTAGCAGCTGGTAGGTTTGTCGCCATCGTTCTGGCGGGGGTATTCATGCATAGCATCTCGCAGCATCACAACAATTGGATCTGATTACCCAATAAAAAAGGATTCCTATTTGACGAACTACGGCTCGTGCCCGAGTCGAACGGGCAAGTCTGTGCCATGTGGACGATTCGTTCTATAAAGCGTCCCTATATGAAGCGTTCGGCGGATGCCTCCCAGACGCGACCAAGCCTCGTTAAACGCATGGGCGAGCTACTTGGTACCATTGTCTGAGACACTGTTTTCGTCGAGTTTTTATCCAGACTGAAGGACTGGGAGTTTTTTGAAGCCGTTCAAGAGCAGGAGATCGGCGCCCAGGTACAGAGAGTTGATGTTTTGGACATCGAGAAGGCTTGGCTCGGGGCGCAGATCGTAGATAGTCACAGTCTCGTCTCGTATACATTGCCAACAGTGAATCCGATCCAAGTGCGAAGATTGCGCGAAGAACGACATTGCATTTCAAGTTGTGACCAGTGTTCTTTTCGATAAAAGACCCAGAACGTGTCGCAGTCGGAGGTAATGGATGCCGGAGGAGCGCTTGAAGGAGCCCCAGAGGATTGTCTTGGAGCCTTGGTGCGATGATGATGGAAGTCGGGAGGAAGCCGCAGTTTATTTGGTGCTGTGACGTCTGGACGCCGTTGCACAACAGCTTCAACCTTTGCTTCTTCCATCATTTTGTTTCTCGTTTCCTCCTCACCGCGGTGTCGAGTCCCGTCCGAGTACATATACACACTGTCGTGCCACGCTGATGCCGGTGCTGGCGCGCGCAGGGGCCATGCACGACGCAGGAGCGGGATGCGGATGGTAGGGATGTACATAGCCATCACCCGTGCGTTCTTTCGTCTGCTCGAACCTACCAATCCCTCGATGCAGGTCATGATCTCCAGGGGTGCACTCCCAGCTGGCGCACATATTCGCACTGACTTCTTATCTGGTCTCCCCGCTTCCGTTATCGACGCAGATAGTGATGTTCAGGGCCCGGCCTCAAGCCCTAAGCCCGACCAAGCCGGGCCCGGGCTTGAGCAAGCCGGGCCGGGCCCGACGCAGGGCTTGAGCGGGCCCAGGGCTTGGGCTTGAGAAATGTCAGGCCCTGGGCTTGGGCTTTGAAGCCCGGCAGTTTAATTTTCTTTCAAGGCCGCCTTCTGGCTTGCTATCAAACAGAACAGTGTTCAACATCACTGCAGCGCATACTGGGAACATTTTGAAGACCTACAGGTGCACCAGGGAAAGTTTCGACGCCAAAATATTCCAAGCCCGGGAAAGCCCGGGCCTAGGGCTTCAAGCCTTGGTCGCGCAGATTGAGCTTCTGCCCACCCACGGTGAACGCCGAAACGTTCGCGGCGCTCTCCGTCCCTTTAACACCGACCCTACCACCACTACGGCCCCGCGCCTCGATGTCCACGTCTGCAGGCAAGAGCACACCCCCTTCGGCAATTCGCTCGTGAATGCGACGCTGCTGCCGCCGTCGATGCGTACGGCGCCAGCGCAATATGTCCGTGTACGCTCCTGCTCGAAGCCACCCGTGCGGCGCGCGCCATCCTCCTAACACGCCACCCCGGCGTGTTCCAGTGCGATATCGAGCTCCTTCGAGTCTGCGCGCCCCTCGACTTCGTGCGCTCTGCAGCACCCTCTCAACCGACCGCGCGGCATCCTCCTAACGCGTCACCCACGAGCCTTCTGACAATGCCTCTATCGCCTCCGGGCGCGTCGTCAGCTGAAACCCTACCCCGGCTGCTGTGAGCTTCTCTCCGGGGCTCGGACGTGTTCAGCTCGTCGCACCGCTGTTTGGTTACACGGCTATCCCGGAGGACATCGGGATTTGACGGGTTTGATGTCCGTCGAATTCCAATGCCCACTCGTCGGGTTTCAGGAAATCGGCACACCTTCGGATTCCAATGGTACGGCCCACTGTGAACGAAGAGCAAGACCTTGGATTCCAACGACGCCGTGGCACAACAAATAGTGGGAAAAGGAGCTCCCAGTGCGCAAAATGAATGTGAAGGCCAGGGTTCGAAACCGTGGCCTTTCGCAAAGTTAGGAAAGAACCCGCCCGAGTCACATCCGCTAGAGCACGGCTCCATTGCAGGTGGAGTTCCGGAGGCTGGTAGTACAGCACTTCGACCACCGGCAACACGACTTCTGATGCAGTATCATGGATGTGTTAACTGTTTGCCCAACATCTATCTCACCCTAAGCTTCCTGACTTATCTCTATGGTGTTCCAACAAAGTTCCCTCTCTTTTCTGAGAGTTACAGACATGTGTCAATGGCGACCATTGTGAATCTGTGATGTTACCTATTCAAGAAATCAGACTGCAACAGAAAAGGAGTAGCGCCGCAGTTTGGCAAGGGAGGTAATGTGCCTGAGAAGCGAAATTTGAGGGGCGGCTTACAAGTATCGGGCTCGCGCGGCTGCTTTGCGCAATGCACATTGCACCGTCCTCGCCAAGTCCCTTCTGATGCGAGATCAAAGGTCACATGTGAGAATCATTGGAGGCCAGCGACCTGATATGCGTACCGTGGGCGGATCATAGAAATGTCACTGATCGACCCATTGGATTCCGACATTCTGCCGGTTTGGTGAATTCCACTGAGAAAATCTTTGAAAGCCGAAGAAAAAATCGTCGAATTCCAACGGGTAGCAATTCCTATCAAATTCCGATGACTCCCGGGATAGCCGTGTAGTGGGAAGAGGGAAGGGGGTCGTGTTGGGAACGAAGGGCCATGCGCGCATGCTCGTGGAAGATGAGGCGATGGAGGTCGAGCGGGTAGAAGGTACCAATGTCCATGGTATTGACATGGACTACGGTGCGTCTTCCTTTCTTTTTTGTCTGTGCTATCCAAGCTGCTTTTCGCCGTGCAGCCCGTCACGCCGGCCGTTGCTCGCACCACCGCCGCCTCCGCCTTTCCACCGCCTGCCACGCCACCAGCCGGGCCTGTCGCCGAGCAAGAGCTTCACGCGCCTCGTCGTCGCATCGCCGTTCCTCGGCGCTGGGCGCCAGAAGTCGGTGAGTCCGCTTCATTGTTTTTCCATTGATAATGATGAACGTGGGCGTGCGCATGCGCAGTTACATCTGCCCTACCCGCTCGTGTTCCCGCTCAAACATCTTCCCAGCACGCAAGCGCTGCATGCGTTTTTTTTTTCCGACGCCGATTAAGGTGTGTAACACTGTGTTTGTGTTTTTGCCCACCTTTCCTTTGCTGCTTTTTTTGCGTGCGCTGTCCCTTCTTTCTTCTTGGCGCGTTCTCCTGTCCTCCGATGCACATTTTGATGCTTCCTTCTCCTTTCGTTTTCATTTCACCATGTGGCTCCTTCCCCTACCGCACTGGTGGCCTTCTCAGAAATTGTGCGTCGTGATGCACAAGAGCGTCCGCTTCGTACCTGACCTCCAACCTCTTCAATCGTTTGGCGGGTTCCTGAATCGTGCTTTCCTTTCACCCGCGCCATTTTTCCTTCGCCCCGCGCATCCCTCCTCCCCCCTCTCCCTTTTTTTTCTTTTCCATCTTTTGTGCGCATTTGGTATCATACTATTTCACCCGGTATTCCTTTTCTCCATGCGCCATTCCAGCCCTGTTCATTTTACTTTAGCTCTTCGCTGCTACAGGCTATTCCGGTACCTTTTGTTTTGGGGATGGGGAGATCTTCCCAAGTCTTTCCTTCGATTTTGACGCGTGAGTCGACGGGCCGCGCCTTCCTTCTTCCCTTCCTGTTCCCGATCACCTTACTTTTTGGCAGGGAATGTCTTCGTTTGCGTTCTCCTTTCCAATCGACGTCTCGCCTCCTTTACGCACATCCTCCCCCCGTTCCGTCGATATCCGGTCTTTCGCTCTTTTTCTGGGATGGGACTGGTGTCACAATTTTGCTTCCTTCGTCCCTTCGTCCCTTCGTCCCTTCGTCCCTTCTCCCTCCTTCCTTTCACCCGCGCTGCAATTGTACATATCCTGTTCGCAATCTTGCTCCCACCGTACACGATTCGATTCACACAATTACCTCGCAATGTACGATTTCAGCTCGCCGCGTTGGTCTCTCGCTCGTCAGGAACGACTTCACTGATATACAAAACACGATGTAGCTCAGAATGTCACGCCCTGTCGCGCATGGTCCGCGCTAGCACAATCCCGAATTTTCTGGACAGAAAATACGAGGTTCGCCCGTTCGAATCGGGCGAGGGTCATTGTGTACTGCTTTGCTTGAATCACTTTTTTTATAGCGCATCAAGCTTGTCATGCTCAAAACAATGCAAGCTATGTCCACAATCCCGGGCTTCGGCCCCGCATAAGCATATATATGGCTCTAGATCGCTACAACTTGCGCTGCCTAGAAAAGCTCCTCGTCCGCCCTTGCTGTTGCTTGTTGGATATTTCCCGAACGCTGCGAATCGGCTAGTAACTATTTGGCCTCGAGCTCAACCTCCGCATTGATCTCACCTGTGGAACTCTGCGTGCGAATCTGGCAAAAATGGCCCAGTGGTTTGGGTTCACAACCAGCATCTGGCTCTGGATATTCCTGGCCACACTCGTCGTTCAACCGGTAGATCCATTGTAACCTATTCTTCTATGTCGGCGTCGATTTCACTGACAATTCTCAGGCGATCTCACCAAGTTCGCAGACCGTTCGAATAAGGCGTAGTGGCGGGTGGTCCGCACCTGCAATAAATTCGGCTATGTCCCACAACTTACATCTGCAGGATTCGCTCGTTCGACTCGAGCCTGCGCCATGTTTAATTATAAGCAAACGCGTTCTTTTTCTGGAGGGGAAATTCGGAATGGTACTGATCTCATTCCACTTTGGAATACGCTCCGCGCTCGATTGAAACATCGTTTCTCCTTTCCCTGATTGAACACTTGCCGTTTGTACAGTCGAATCTCTCGTATGGAATAAGGTCATATGGAATATCCTGCCAAAAACCGTGATATGGAATAGCCAGCGGAGACTTCCCAATTGCCGATTACCACTGTAATTTGGAGCTCATATGGAATATTAGGCCATATGGAATCACTCCGAGGCTGAATTTGGCCGGTATCCCAACTTTATTCCATACGAGAGATTTGACTGTACCAACTCCCCCATATTCATATTTCAACAGAGCCGCATATACGGAATTCGAACTGATGGTTGGCTCTGTAGGTGGTGCAACTCGCTCCAGTCGCTCGTCTGAATAATCTTCGTGTGCGTCTCGGGCTGGTCTGCATAATCCTTATCTATGAACAAAACAAAACAAAAGCGCTCTTCGATGCTTACAGCTCGGGCCTGAGTCGAACGGGCGGGTCTGCAGAAGTGTTGCGGACAGTTGATTTATTGAACACAGACGCGTCCCGGACGCTACCGAGCCTCCTACATCTTCTGTCCACCCAGATGTCCAGGTGACACAAATATTGCTGAGTGCAAATTCCCTGCAATGACAGGACTCTTGCTCTCATCCGTTTTTTTCCCATGTCGAGTAGAAAGCTGAGTTGCGGCCTGTATTTCCAGTCCGCATGCGGCGTTTTCAAACCGCCTCTCAGTTTTTCTCATTCTCGTGTCAAGTTCACCAACACAAAAAAAAAAAAAAATCTTGCAACATGGGTGAAGCCTTGACGCTACGGAGCCTCTTGCAGAGACCTTTTGTTTTGGACGACCCTCGGGAGGACTGATGCATCTCGGCCGTAACCTCAACTCCAATCCATGACTTGAAGCATGGAAAATGAGCTGCGACCGCGAACCAACCCTCCTGCACCTGGATTCAAGCACCAGTATTTCTCAGCGCGGATTCCTTTTAAATGTGTGCATCTCCTCGCCGAATAACATACTTAACCAGGATGTTAAATCTCGAATGTCCATCGCTCAGAAACCTATCCCACGAGGATGAGAGTCACAAGCGCCCCAGCCAGCAGCCCAAAAAATGGCTAGAAAGGACCCATGGCTCGGGCCCGAATCGAACGGGTGGGTCTGCAGACATATGGTACGCCCCGTTTATTCCACACAGATACATCCCAGCCGTACCGAGCCTTATTCATTCAATCTTTACCCGGGCCATCCGTGACTTTTCCGTCCTGAACAAGTCAGTTTGGAAGTTGGAGTTGGAGGGCAGATAAAGGACCCTTGACCACTATACGCACAAGGTAATCCCAACTCATGTACTTACCGGTTGGCAACGCAAGCAACGCGGTGCATCCATGCGCAATTAGTTGTTACTCCACTCAGGGATTCACTCACTCACTAAATTACAATGGATGATTGAAACTCCGACGTCCGCACGCCGTGGGCTCTAGAGGTCAGTGCTGAATACTTGCTCTTACTTTAGCCATCTCAACGTGCGGAGGAATTGCACCACATTCACGATGAAAAAGGTGAACAATCTAAACTGCGTGGCTCAGGCCCGAGTCGAACGGACAGTCTGCAGAACTTTCCTCGAATCAAATTATCCTATTCAAGACAGACACGTCCCGGACGCCACCAAGCCTCTTGCATCTACTTTCAACCACCACCATTGTTCAGGTGGATCCCTTGCCCGGAACTCCAAACTTCCCAGTGCTTTCAAAGCCAATGAACGCAAAAGGGTTTCGTGCATCACGGCATGACTGGTCACTGGAGCGGCGCCAGTCGAGCAGACAGGTATGTGTATGATCGTACTCTTCAGGCCCCAGCGTTGAACGAAGCTACGTCCCGGACCTTTTTATTAAACTCGACAAGCAGACGTGGGGTTATACCCAACCTAAAAAACAGCTACATTGATGCATCATGGCTCGGACCCGAGTCGAACGGGCAGTGTTGCAGAAATATCGTACCAGCGGCGCTATTCGACGCACACGCGTCCCACACGCTACCGAGCCTTCTGTGGCTCTGTCGCAAAAGCCCGTTCTTGGTTATAGTCAGTTGTAATGAATTATAAGTCGGTATAAGCCTGTAAGATTTTTTGGGGGTCTGTAGACCTCAGAAAGGCGCTATCTTCACTGATAAGTACTTACGGCACTTATCACGGTTATAGGCGCTTATAAGCTCGGATAAGCGCTTATAAGTAAACTCATTTGCCGAGCTCCAATGCGCCATATCCCTCTCAGCCTTTCATACTCTAAAACAGACGCTCGAAAGGAGGGGAAACATATGCATTCAAAAGCTACGCTACTAAGTACATGTCGCCGGGACTATGGTGTATTTGCGCGAACAACGGACGGACGAACATGGGAGTAAGAGCCGCATAGCCTCACCCGGATAATTTCGCGGTTACGGTATTAGGGTCTATTTGAAGGCACTTCCAAACTTGAAATTTGAAGAGCGACTTTTCAAGAAAAGTGCTCCACCACGCTCCCACACTGTCATTCCACCCGTGTGGACCTGGGTTAAACCGCGTTCAAGTAGCCCTTTTGACGCGATTTTTGGACCGGGATTGGAGCTCAGAGCGACAGCAGAGTCACAGACATTTGCGCGGCGTGGGTGAAGCCCGCCAGCTACAAGTTTGTGTGAAACAAACGGTCGGTTCGGGTTGGGTTCCGAATTTGGACACAGCTCCACTCGCTTCAAAATCAAGCGGCTTGCTTCTTCAAGCGGCTTCAAATAGACTCTATTCTCCATAAGATATCCATTCTACAACTTGGCTGTCAGACAACGGCGAGGAGGGGAGGAGATAGTGACACACGTTATGTCGCGATCCACAGTGCGACTCAAGAGAGGCTAATCTGTAATTCGAATCAGAGGAGTGCCGGGGGACAAGACGATATTGAGACGCACCATCAGCAAACCCTGATTTCCCGGGTAGCATTCTGGAGCACTACAGAGCACTACAGAGCACTCCAGAGCAAAAACCCCCTACTATGGCACTACAGGGACTATGGGGCACTATGGGCCGCTCTGTAACACTCTGTAGCGCTCCATAAGCTGCCATAGTGCGAAAAAATCAGGATTTGCTGATGACGAGGCCCGGCATACGGAGCGGACGGGGACGACGAGTTCCACGAGGTACTTAGAGGAGGAGGGGCATGTGGTGGTTGAAGACAAGCAGGTGGAGTCACAGCGTCACGGAGTTTATATGTGTCGTAATGTGACGTCACTTACTCCACCAACTCGGATGCCATGCCGTGCCCGCCGCTTCCAAGGTCCTCTCGTCTGCCTAGCTCTCTCTGCACTCGCTGTTGGCCCCTGCCATGCCTGCATAACGACGCTCTAGCCTCTGACTCCGATACCACCCACGTCTCAGATCTCAGATCTCAGACTCTGAACCGGAGAGAGTCGTAGGAAGATTGAAATTGCGCGTCCACGAAAATCGGACACGCACATCCCCTGTGCGCCGTCAGGCTCACCGCAAACGGAACTCCCCTCTCTCAGACCACTCAAATACCAATCCCACTTGCACCCCCTCACCCGTTGAACCGGTAGAACCACGCCTGAAACGTGTCGAGAAAGAGCTTGCGGATTCAATGTGCAGCTTCGAAAGGTGTGTCATTAATTCGATTCCTTCGGTACCTTCAGTGCCCACTCATCCTCCCTACCCCAATCCACTACTCAACACGAGTGTTCCGTCGTGGACAAATGCCTCGGAGGAGACACCCCGATCGACACCGCTCTCGTCCTTGACGATGTCATCGAAATCCAGGAGGAAGTCGGGCGACAGCTAGCAGGTTTGCACAGACAGCTAGATGATCTCGAGCAGTTGGGGGAGAGGCATGAGCTGAGGAAGCGTGCCCTTGAATCGTCATGGCTTTATTCTTGCCATCTGTGATTTCTATTTCGAATCAAAGCTTGATTTCTGTCTGCGTGGTACACATGTAAGCTAAGAATCTTTGTCGGTGCCCTCCGCATTCTTCGCATTCAACTCCTCAAGTGCGGCGCGCTGTCCCTCCTCCCTTTCCGTTGTCCGAGTCGACCCTGCCAACCATCGCCTCATCTACTTAGATGATGTACGTAACAGATTTTGACTGGCTTTTGTGTAAGGCTGGTAATTAAATAAATACATTTTTGAACCATCCTTTGGGAGTTTTCAGGGGGCCTGGGTGCTACAGAATACGACTCCGGAGGCTGGAAGATTATAAGCACTTATAAGTACTTATAACCCAGTCATAAGTTGCCTATAACCTGCCTATAACTCCCTTATAAGGCTGTAAGCTTTCGTAACCCCTTATAAGCCAAAATGCCCTTTTGCGACATCGTTCCAGCCCATTAGCGAACCTTGGGTGATTTCCTTGCATGGAACACGGCGCGTTGTGAAACCTGCAGTTTGACTACGTATTATCGAAAGGCGACTGATGAAGATGCTTTGTCTCGCCGCGAAGTCTTGTGAAGCAGCCGTCGGTTTGCGACCAAAAAAAAAGCGGCTTCTCGATCTCACAGCTCTGGCCCGACTCGAACGGGCGCATCAACATGGCCGAGAATGTCGAGGCAACCACGTCGAGACCTACAGAGCGTCCCTCGCGCAACCGCGCTCAAGTCGTTGTCCGTGAGCCAATGCGCATTTTTCGGGCAAGAAATTGGACGACGCGGATCAATCTCAAGTACTTCCACCCACCGTCAGTGAATCCGCCGCACGAGCTGCATTGTTCCAAATGGCCCACAGCGGTGGACCCGCCTCCGTGTAGACCTTCGGTTGATGCCCAGTCCAGTGACTTCTCGCGATTCGGACCAGACCAGATCCACCACGTCGAGCAGGCAGAAAGATCTTGACCGCCCACGACTCAGCACCGCGTTCAGATGCCACCGGCGCTGCATTTGATGTGGTTGAGAGCCAATCCAAGACAGCGAGTGCGT